AATCAACTATAACTATAACCTCCTTATCATACACATCCTTCTCTGACTCATTTGTTTTCCTTTCCTCCTATAGTTCCTCATCTGCAGAAGCCAAGGGCTGAAATTTGTTGCCCAACACAATAGGTCCATTATAACAAAATTCATTACTTTTAGCCCTAATAGTACAATTTCTAACTTCCTGAAAGTCATTGTTAGCTGATGTATCCCTTACATGTAAAGGCTTAAGCTCCTCCTGAAATCCTGCTGCCATTTTCCACAGTCTACACTTCTCTTTATCTATTGCGTCTAGTTATGATAGCCTCAAACTTCTCCTCCAACCTACAAACTCTACATACAAATTGCATATCTTCAATACTAGCTTCCTTAAAAGTACATGCCAGACCCAATTAAAACCCACTCATTGCACCCATTACACCTAACAAACTGTGAACACTTAACTCCTAAAGTAGTCTTAAACATTGTATTTATACTTATAGCCTAAAAATATATATATACTCAATACCAGTAGCCTATTGTTAACACTGTTACTGTTAAGCCTAACATTTAAGAACCAGTTATATTTTTTATCACTAATTTGTCTTCACACTAAAGTAATAAAGTTTATCTTTAATTATATAGAACTTAATAATTTATTAGAGCAACATACACAATGTTAAAATAAAATGTATTTAGCCTGATTTATATTATAACCTACCTATATCTATAAGCTGAATTTATTATGATATATTTATGTTATATTTATTCACAATTTATTATGATAGGTTAATATAATATTTATTCACAATGTATCATGATAGGTTTATATTATATTTATTCACAATATATCATGATAGGTTAATGTTATATTTATTCACAGTGTATCATGATAGGTTTATATTATATTTATTCACAATTTATTATGATAGGTTAATGTTATATTTATTCACAATGTATCATGATAGGTTAATATAATATTTATTCACAATGTATCATGATAGGTTTATGTTATATTTATTCACAATGTATCATGATAGGTTAATATAATATTTATTCACAATTTATTATGATAGGTTTATGTTATATTTATTCACAATGTATTATGATAGGTTTATATTATATTTATTCACAATTTATTATGATAGGTTAATGTTATATTTATTCACAATTTATTATGATAGGATTATGTTATATTTATTCACAATTTATTATGATAGGATTATGTTATATTTATTCACAATGTATTATGATAGGTTTATGTTATATTTATTCACAATGTATTATGATAGGTTAATGTTATATTTATTCACAATTTATTATGATAGGTTAATATTATATTTATTCACAATGTATTATGATAGGTTTATATTATATTTATTCACAATGTATTATGATAGGTTTATGTTATATTTATTCATAATGTATTATGATAGGTTTATGTTATATTTATTCATAATGTATTATGATAGGTTTATATTATATTTATTCACAATGTATTATGATAGGTTTATGTTATATTTATTCATAATGTATTATGATAGGTTTATGTTATTCTTATTCACAATGTGTTATGATAGGTTTATATTATTCTTATTCACAATGAGTTGTACTGTTTTTTTTTAATGTTTGCATTTAGCATGTTAACAGTGTGTTATGGTTTGTTTTTATTTTCTTTCCTGGTAGAGATTGGTTATGATGGAGCTTTTTGTGTTGTTTCTGTTAACAATGATTTAGGACCTTGTTGTTTTATATAGATTATGTTAAAAATACATTCGTATGTTATATTATTGTTAGGGCTATTTTAGAGAAAGAATATTATACCTGTTATACCAGCCTTTTCAAATATATTTTCATGTAATTAAATATTCCTTTTGTTACCAATTTTGTTCATTTCTCTCAAGAAATGATATAAATCTATATTGTTAACACAAATTTATAGGTTTTTCTTAAAGAGGGTGAATTAATGAAACTTTCGAGAAAAGAATTGCAGCCCCGATGGTTTATTTTGGTAAGTGCTCATGGTATTATCTTTTTTTATATCTGAAATAAGTATTATGACCCAAATTAAATAACTAGATTGGCTCTTTGATTTGAAAGAATATCTATTATTAGTAACTTAAATTTGTTATGTTATCAGGATCAGTATCATGTAGAAATAGGTATATATTGATATTGTTAGAAATAGGTATATATTGATATTGTTAGAAATAAACATGTATAGATATTGTTAGAAATAAACATGTATTGATATCATTAGAAATAAGCATATATTGATATTATTAGAAATAAACATGTATTGATATTGTTAGAAATAAACATATATATTGATATTGTTAGAAATAGGTATATATTGATATTGTTAGAAATAAACATGTATAGATATTGTTAGAAATAAGCATATATTGATATTATTAAAATAGACATGCATTGATATTCTAATCACAAATCACTTAAGTACACTTAGGTATAGTGTGAAGATGTCCCTCAAAAATTTAAATAATCTGTATATTTTGGTGTTTTTTTTTCTCTCAAAATTATTAATTCTCTCAAGAATAGTTTTGTGTTCTTGACACCTAATGTGATTCAGAAATTGGATGTTTTACTTTCTTCATTCGTTTTAGAAGTAAATTGATTTGCGATCTATCTATCCCATGTGACCTTACTCAATTTTCAATTTACACCTTTATTTTGTTATATGAACTGTGCTGAACAAGTAAGACTTTCTAACTTTTTCTTTCCTTTATCTCACTCAGTTTAATGACTGCTTACTGTGCACAACACCTGTCCAGAGGAATCTCCTCATAGTTCATCATGAACTTCCTCTGACTGGTATGAAAGTATCCATCCCTCAACAACAAGAATATCAGAATGAGTTCAGTATCATCAGTGTACAACGCTCATACACAGTGGCTGCAAGGTAGTTTAGACATCTAGCAAGTGATAAATATATCATTGATATCTCTGTTTAACAATAAAACACCAGCTTCATCAAGTGAACAAATATATCATTCATATCTCTGTTTAACAATAAAACACCAGTTTCATCAAGTGAACAAATATATCATTGATATCTCTGTTTAACAATAAAACACCAGCTTCAAGTGAACAAATATATCATTGATATCTCTGTTTAACAATAAAACACCAGCTTCATCAAGTGAACAAATATATCATTGATATCTCTGTTTAACAATAAAACACCAGCTTCAAGTGAACAAATATATCATTGATATCTCTGTTTAACAATAAAACACCAGCTTCATCAAGTGAACAAATATTTCATTGATATCTCTGTTTAACAATAAAACACCAGCTTCATCAAGTGAATAAATATTTCATTGATATCTCTGTTT